ACCAAGGAGAACGTCGCGCGCGCAGCCACCGCTAAGGCGGCAACGACAACAGCGGTGAAGAATGAGGCGACGGCAGATGTCCGAAAAGCACCTGCGGAAGGCAAGCCCCGCAAGAGAAGTGCAAGGAGGCCAGATCAAGGGAAGAAAGAGCCGCCTAAAGATGACTCGAAGAAGAAGTCGACGCCACCAAGTCAGCCTACAGTGAAACACGGTCCTCCGGATGACGAGCCCTCGGACGGCGACAACGACTCCGATAAGGAATCCGGAGACAGTGACTCCGACAGCAGCTCGTTTGAAGACCTCGTGTCGGGGACGCAGGCCCGTGCGACCGGCCAAGGGACGATTATGTTCAACCCGATGGTTAACATCACCGCACTCGAAGATTTTGACGAGAAGCAGCCATTGGCTGTCCGAACGCGCTGGCTGGAGAAGTTCCAAAGCCTTGGGGTCATGGGAAGGTGGTCCGACCATGCAAAGGTTTACTATTGCAAGTTCAAATTATCTTCGGCGTTTCGTGACTGGCGTGGGAATTTGGATGAATCTGTGCGTCGAAGTTGGAAGCGCTTCGTGAAAGCCTTCCGCGAAGAATATTGCAAGGCGAAGACTCCAGATTCCGAATACTACTACACGACTTTCCAAAGGAAAAGCGAAACCCCTCGAGAGTTCTATTATAGGTTGAACAAGATTGCTGGAAAAGCGGACATTGACGTTAAATCTACGGACATCGCACACGACCGACACCTGAACGTATTCATCAAGAAGTTGAAGGATACTCAACTGAGATCAACGTTGCAAGGTCAGCGGGTCCGCAGTCTGAAGGACTTGGAACATATCCTGAAGCAACATGAAGAAATCTGGTGATGATCGAGAAGCGCACCCTCTGAAGGGTAACGATCAAAAGGCCGAGGGCGCATTTGGAAATCGGCAACGACAGAAGAACCACAGCCGGGTGTACAACGTCAATGAGGATGAAACTTTTGCGAGTGATGACGAGCAACAACTTCTGTTGGATCCAGGCGTTGAAGGTACACACCCGAAAGTGTCATTTGGAGAGTCCGTTTCCGACAAGGATGTCGATGGTTTGTCTGGAGATATCCTCGACGGAAATACGACGCTTCGGAAACAAGATGTCACCTCAGAAGTCTACCGAATTATGGAGAATTCCGGTTGGAGGCCTCCGAACTCGGAGTACAGACCGCCGCCAAAAACGGACTTTGGAAGGCCACAACAGACACGCCATTGTGATAACTGTGGCGAAGGATCGCACTCCACAGAGTTCTGTTGGGCAGATATGGAATGCAATCGATGTCACAGGAAGGGGCACCCTGATAAGTATTGCAAGGTTGACCCTTGTCCGTTCTGTTACAAATTTCACGATGGAGAATGTTATGGACTGAAAAATCTGCAAGCACTCAAGAATCTCGCTAAGCAAGGAAGCTTGAATGATATTCCTGATCACATTCTCAATCAACTTTTGGACTGACATGCAGAATCTGGGACGAAGCCTCTGGGACGAAGCCGTCAAACCACTAAGCCCGCTGGATGGAGATCCAGTACGCGACGGGCTCAAGACACCCCCAGAATTATGTGTGTTGTTATGTTGGACCAGAATTGAGAAGCCAAGATCAAGATAATCAACAATCCATGAATGTATTTGATGAAGATCTCCTTGTGGAAAGTTCGCTTTTGGATGACGCTCAGAGCAAATTTTCAGATGGGTCAGATATCACCATGCGTCCAGAATTTCGCCTGAGACGTGGTGAACGCTACGGATGGTGGCATGCCCATGAGCAAGAAGAGAGTCGGAAAATTGCATTGGTGCATGGGGCGGTGAATAACTTTCGAACGGATATACTCTTGGATTCTGGAGCGTCAGTGAGCATGGTGAGTTTAGGCCTTGCGCGTAGGCTAAAACTCAAGCTCAAGTATGGCAAACAGATTTCCGTGTCCGGACTCGGAGGTGTACCGACCAACATTACCGCAAGTGCCGAAGTGAAAATTACCTTGGAACCAAGAGTGGTATATGTTGTGGATGTTTGGGTCGTCAACATCGGTTTGGATGTATTGCTTGGGATGAATTTCATGTTCTCGGCTGGAGTACGGTTGTGCGTCAAGGAAGGGCTAGTCCAACTCCCGGATGAAGAAACAGTTTTGCTTTCAGGAAGGGGACTATCCCACGTCAAACATGGCATGGCGCATGGAATTCGTCCAAAGTATACTATGTATCTGCAACCTGGAGAATGCCGGACGATTCGACTGCCCGCGTTCCGAAAGTTGATGCGACCATCGACCATATGGGCTGGACGCGGAGATCGCTGGGTCACTCAGGTGTTATACGCTTGGAAGGTTCCCGCGGCTATTAAGGTAGTCAACATTTCCGATCGCATTGTCACTATTGACTGGCGAACCGAGGTTGCCCATGTGGTCGAAAATGGGTTCTTCCCGAGAGCGGGACGTTATGTACGCGGTGGC